GGGTCTCACTGTTGCTCATGCTGGTTTCCAACTCTTACCTTTAAGCAAACCTCCTGCTCAGGCTGGTCTCCAACTCTTACCTTTAAGCAAACCTCCTGACACCTCATGATTTCAGGCATGAGCCACTGAGCAGTAATTCCATTAACATTTTTTTTTTTATTGTTGTTGACAGAGACAGCCTAGCTCACAGCAACCTCAAACTCCTGGGTTCAAGCAATCCTCCTGCCTCAGCCTCCTGAGAACCTGGGAGTATAGGCTTGTACCAACATGCCTGGCTAATTTTTTTTTTTTTTTGAGACAGAGTCTCACTATGTCACCCTTGATAAAGTGCAGTGACATCACAGCTTACAGCAACCTCAAACTCTTGGGCTTAAGTAATTCTGTTGCCTCAGCCTCCCAGGTAGCTGGGACTGCAGGCTCCTGCCACTAATTTTTTCTGTTTTTTGTATAGACATGTTCTTGCTCTTGCTCAGAGTTGTCCTGAGCACCTGAGATCAAGCAGTCCTCCCAGAGTGCTAGATTACAAATGTGAGCCTCTGTGTTCAGCCTTGTTTGACTTCTTTCATAAGGCTAGAGCAGGGGTTGCTCATTGCTCTCTGTTCATATCTTTATGATTATGCCATATGATCAGAGAGAAAAAATATTCATTAGGTGATCTGAATGGCTCAGTCTAGGTCACATTTTCATTATTGGAATAGTTGCTTATGGCTAAGGATGTACTACTAGAATTGCTTAAGCTGGTCATTTGCCTATCTCTCTACTTGATGGAGGATGAGATTAGTTACCAGAAAAGGGGGAGGTACAGAATATGAAGTATGTCTGATAATAGTAGCTCCAAGTCTTTATTGCTCTAGAAGCTTGGGTCCCCATTTTAGTTGTTTCCTAGACGTATTCACTTACATGTTCCAAATTCAAATTTTTTTCCATTTATGTATTTCTCCTTCTCAGCTGTGCTCCATCCCTGCCCACTTTTCAGGCTGAAATGTTCTTTTCTACCTTTATCCTACTTTTTTGTTTTTTTAAACTCCTATACAGTTAAACTTCATCCTCATTTACGTGTTAGCATGTACTAAAACTGACTCTATAGTTTCTGGATTGGGTATTGATTGATTGTTGCCACTATTAGTATAACCATGGAATATGGAAGAAATTGTCAGAGGAATGATTCAATTTAACTTTATACCTCAACTTTGGTATGAGGAGGAATACCACTATTCCGGTTGTTCTCTCACAATTACAGGTATCTAAGGAGAGAGAATGTACTGAGTGCAGTAACGAAAAAGAAGTCACAGATAAGTTATGGCTTCTCAGATTGTCAAAGGATGGATGAAGCAAAGGAGGGGATGGCATTGCAGTTGGCTAAAACCACACAAAGACTCCAGAGATCCCATTTAAGGAGTGGATGGGAACAGGGAAACCTGTAAAGAAGATAAAGAGCAGTTATGGATAGAATAAACAGTGATAGCATGAGGGAGGATGAAAAGTTACAGAAAAGTCAAGGAATAAAGATTACTTAAACTTGTAATGATTTAGAAGAATAATCTAACAATTTTACAAAGTTAAGTTTTTCATTCAAGAGTAATGAAGTTGGCTGGGTGTGGAGACTCATGCCTGTAATCCTAGCACTCTGAGAGGCTGAGGTGGGTGGATTGCC